CTTGACATTTTACTTTTACTTTGGATTGATTAAATATGCCTTAATTTTCAGATATTCTCGCAATCAAGTCAGAATATGGATCCTCTGTCATACAGAGAATGTTACTAAAGTAAGACAATATTTTATGTTTGCAATTTATGTTGTGAAAATCATAAAATTATTCATCAAATGTCTATTTGAATCTGGTAATCTTAAATACTAACCCCGCGTTTTTTTTCCCTTTATTTTTATGTGAGTACACAGTGTGTACAGTTAATGCGTGGCCTCAGCTGACCTTGTCACTCTTAACACAGAGCTAGGTTAACAAATTTCCTCCACTCCAGCATAAAAACTAGAATTAGAGCTTACAAGTGGAAGTAAGGCTGATTAAATACTTAAGGAGCAGAAGCACTGATGCAGCAGAACAGTAAACTGAGCAACAGCAGGTGAAATAGGCCACAGAAACTGAAAGACATCACCATAATAAACCCTTGTTAATTCTTCGTCTTGTTCTGTTCATCCTTCACCAGACCACAGGTGCCTTTGGAGGATCTTCTTCAGCCTTCTGTGCCTCCCGATGCTCTCGACCTGTTGAAGGGTTTCCTGGTTTTCAACCCAGACAAGCGGCTAACTGCAGAGCAAGCCCTCCAACACCCATACTTAGCCAGGTATTAAGGATCAGACTGGCTCCTGGATTAGGAGCTGTGGTCAAATTTTATTCTGTTTTCTTGTTGCTCAGTTGGTCAGATTGAATAGACGTGTGTGTTATTCCCCTTGTGGTAAATCTGTAATCTGTAAATGTTTTTATGATTTTACTGTCATTATATGTTCATGTGTGCTGTCATATGTTTATAAGTGTGCTATCCATTTCTGAAGATTTCACAATCCAGCCAAAGAGCCAACACTGAACTACGACGTAGTGCTGCCAGTGGATGATGACATCCAGCTATCTGTGGTTCAATACCGCAACAAACTATATGAGGTACAGTGTAACTTATAACTGAGTTTGAGTACTGAGTACATTAGATTACTTTGGGGTATACTACAAAAAACTACTGAAAAAGCTCTGTAGGCTGTAGGACCCTTCACACAAACATGCAACTCTGCCTGCTTCACATAGCAAGACCGAAAGAAGCAAATGTAAGAAAACAATACAGTTTCAAAATTTACAAATACATTTCAAAAAATGAGTCAAGAACAAATGAAATCCCTCACAGCATAAGAATGTGCTGTAACGTTGTTCCAAATTAAGAATTTAGGGCTTTCAGCTTGCTTTTAGAAATATTAAGACATAGACTGTATATAAAAGATGGACATTGTTACCGTGCCATCACACAATTAGTGAATTTAGTCCCAAGCGAAATCCTCAAGCTGAGCATTTTCAGTGTGACCCTCTTGGTGTTTTGAAACCAGACAGGGAGGGACGGATCATGAGTTGTATTATATTTATTTATAAAGCAGGCATGATACATATTAACATTGCTGCATGTAAACAAATGCAGCTGATGAAATGTACAGAGGACTTTGTGGCACATTGAATTTGGATCTCTTATTCATGGTTCATGGCCTTAAGACACAACTATGGAATTATATTTATGTCAAAAGCTGCATCCAGTAAAAAAAAATGTAATCAGGAGGAAATAATTTACTTTCGCAAGCGGAGGTGTTCATTGCCACTTGCAAAATGAATTTACTCACATGTAAATTCAACAGCACAAGAAGCTTTCACACACAGGAGAGTTTCTGGTGTGTGAGCGATGCAGCAGGTTCATGCTCTCAGGGGTAACTCTGCTCTCAAAGCTCGAATCTGCTCACTTTAATAAACTGACTTTTGACAGTTTTGAACGCGTCACAGAAAAACACTTTCAAAGGAGTGCTGCCTCAACCTCTGTGATGGTCAGGTTCAGGTTATATTTGTTTTCACTGCATTTTCACTGCATTACTTTAATGCTGAAGACATTTTGAAAACCGAAGGATTCCAAGGCAACTTCTGAAACATCTGGCTTTACTTCAGTTTCAGTATAATTCCATACATCTACTGCAATTATACAATTATTCCAATGTTCTGGTCTCTGTTGGTCATTATAAAGAATGCGTTGAATTGGCTTCACTGTGCCTATCTGTTTCAAGAAGTCATCATTTGATAACAAAAGCCAGACTGTTCCACAGTTTAAAAACAAAAGGTGGCTTTTCAGTGCTTCGTGGGACACACAAGGTAGCTTTAAAACAAGACCTGTGTGATCATGCTTGAACATTCATGGTCTCTGAATTTTCTATATAAATGGGACAACTGGAAGTTAATCAAACTAGTTAAAAATGCTAGAGTCTGTATCTTTTTGTAACCTGCAGATGATACTGGAGAGGAGAACTAACCAAGGGATGTTGAGGTTGATCCAGCCAAAGGAAGGAAGCTGTGTCAGCAGCAGTGAGAAGCCCAGTGTGAAGTGTGATAAAGGAGTGAAGAGCCAAGTGGCTGCAAACAGCATCAGAGATGGTGATGATGAAAGAAAACCAAAACCTGAAAAAACTGACGAGACGACCCATGCGCCTCCATGTACAGGAGTTGGCAAAACCGAGGCGGTGAATGCATGCACCCCACCTGCAGCAGAGAAGACGAGCCCTCTAGCTGGCCCTGGCATAGGAAAACGTACATATAACCCCATCACACATGCCCCAAGTATGAGAGTTTATTTTTTTGGTGTAAAATATGAAACCTGTCTTTTTGTTTAAAAAATGATGGGGTTTGAAAATTCCTGAAAAGCATAATTATTAAGTCATCAGAATGTCAGGTATTTAATGAGCACAGTACAACAGCTGTCTTTATACTGCCTCAAACTCTTGTTTTCTTCATTCAGATGTCTTTGTTCGGAGTCCAGGTGGTCCTCCTCATTCCTACCAATCCACTGCAGCCAGCAGGAAACCAGTGGGACAGAGCAGCTACAGTAATGCAGTTGCATCACCAACAGAGGGCACCAGCGCTGGTGTAGTAAGCATCAGACCTCAGTCCACTTAGGCTTTCTTTTCCTTTAGTGATGTAAGCCTTGTTTCTTTTTGTAGTTCTTACCATTTGTACTTTTCTCTGTCTCCTCACCCTACTTCTGCTAGTCGATGGACCAGATTCTCCAGCGAGGTCGCTCAGCCCCCGTGGCCCATAACCATTCCTTTTCCTCGTCCCTAAACCACACCCAGAATAACCCGTTAGTACGCAAAGATGAGACATCCTTGTCTTCTGGGCTTTACATCACATCAGCACGTCTGGTCAGTCCACTACATCCATGTAAAATATTATATGAAAGAACAGATGCAATTTAAAAAAAAATTAAGTGACTTTTAAAACATTTTTGAGGATTTGAGGATGGTGATTATTTTGAAACTTGGTGGCTTCAGGGGCAAGAAAAGAAACTTGGTGACTGTCACGTGTGTCTGACCAGGTTTAATTTTTTTTTCGTCTCATGCAGAACCAGCGCTCCACCACTCAGGTGCATGAGGCCCGGCCACCACCGCGGTTCAGCAAGAAAGTGTTTCAGACTAACTGTAACGTGGCAGCAGCTGGCGACCCACGAGCCAAACTAGGCAGCTATTCGCAGGCCTATGGCACCATCAACAAGACTGGACTGGACAGTCTTCTTCGGGGCCGCCCTTGCAACCAGTGACTGCTGCCATACCTGCAGTTACATAGGGGTCCGGTGCCACATGTGTTTAAACACGCAACAAAGTTTGCTTTGATCTCCTTCAGACTAGGACTAGAAACGATTCTGACAGGCAGATCAAACACCTCTTATGTTACCCTTAGATTTTACCCATGGATTTATTCACTGTATATATATATATATATATATATATATATGAATTCTAGGCATTAATACCAATGTATGAATATATGTAAATGTGTGTATTTTTTTTTTTAAAAAAACTTGAAAACCTTTTCTTAGAAGGCTGGATTAGCCTGTCTGTAGGTAGAGGCTCTGTATTAAAGTGCATATGCTAAATAATAAGTTTGAGCATTTGTCTCAGGAGCGTCTGTCGGTTTAAAATAAGCCCTGGTCTCATGTTGACTCTGGTCTAGAGGCTTAATGTTTTAATACTACATTAGGAACATTGAACCAGTGGTTTGGGTGCAGAATACTTGCAGATACATGTAAAATATGCAAATAGATGGTTTGGTGAATTCATTATATCTAATAAGTGATTATTTTTCATTTGTGAACATGCCAGCAAGAATTCTACTTGTACAGAATTTTATAATGTTTAACACTGAATCACTTAAATGTCTATGAACAATTTCAGGTGGAAGAACTCAGACTCTGTGTCTCTGTAAAAGAACAGCCATGTAAAGAAAAAACAAAGTAAACATTGTTTTTACACATTTCTTCTCCTCCAACAGTTTTGTTGCTAAAACTGACTGCGAAACATCTTCAAGAAACCTAAGAAGTCCAGTCGCTTTTCTTTCCAAGGTCCTTAGAAACTGAAGCTACAGTTCACATAGGCTAGAGTGGAAGAGTGGAAAAATGTTGCCTGGTCTGATGAGTCTCAATTTCTGCCCCAACATTCAAACTGTAGGATCAGAATTTGACATAAATATGAAAGCATGGACTCGTCCTACTGTATGTTAACGGTTCAGACTACATCACATACTGAAATTAATGACATATTTAAACATAATGTATTTATCAGTGAATCGCTGTCGGAAAACCTTGCTCTTTTCACTTAATTAAAAAGCCCAAAGGGAGCACAAGCCAAACTTACAAAGCAGTTAATCTTGAAACTGTGTTTGTTTTTATAAATTTCTATCTGAGAATGACAAAGTAAAAGCAGGTGAATATATTCGGTTAAAGAGAAAAACCCGTAAACGCGACCGATAATAAACCACGTGACTTAAGACCAGCAGGAGTCCTGCAGTAATTTCCAGATTAATCTGGATCTTTCCACAGAAGCATTTTGTTTGCATATTTAATTGAGCGGCTCTGTTTTGTCTTTATCCAGATGACGTTATGGGGGGGAAGGGAAAAGCATGTCATGTGGCAGTTTGTGAAGTCATTTGTGTCGTTTTTCTGTAATGACTGGTGATTCCCACACAACACGTGACCACGCTGTGTCGAAAACGTCAGGGGCCGTTGTCCAGAACCCAGCGCGAGCAGAGAGGAGGAGGAGGAGACGGCGAGAGTACATTTCGGCAGTTACTTCGGAGTAAACTTACCTCAGGTAAATAGCTGTAATGTTTATTAATGAGTATTTTGTGTTTTATTAGTAGTTTTTCCCCTTTATTAAACACGTATGGATGATGAGCGCCTTTTTCTTTTTTGTTAGCAATCGTCAGCATCTTGCCTATCGCCAACTGTCAGAGGAATAGAAAGCAGTAAATTCCAAAAACACATGCTGTTATTTAGGGTTATTAGTTAATCATTTTGTACCCAGATACCAAAAGGTCTGTGTAACTGCAGTTTGGCTTTAAAAGGAGCTCTCGGTGTCCTCAGCTTGGGGGCGAGGCGTGTGGTCAGCGTCCAAAAAACGTAGCTAACCCAGATTGGATTCATCATGGCGAGGCTAGCTCTGTGCTGTCGGGTGTCTGTGGCCCACAAGCTCGTAGTTTGTCCACGCTCCGACATTAATGGTGGTCTCGGCAGCTTGGGCGTAACATTCGTGAATGCCATGTAGTAGATGGTAGCAGTGTCGCACTTATCAGCGCTGGTGAGGCCTGCATGGGATGCGCCTAAATACAGGTGCAGCATTTTAAAAAAAAGAAAAAAAAAGAGAGACCGCTCGATGCATGCTTTCGTTTTTGGTTTAGAGTCGCTCACCTCATCTAAACATGTCGCGTTGCTCCACTTTTAGTCCGGATTTCTGTTTGTGTTTAGTCTTTCTGACATTTCGGTGCTTTTATCAGTGAGTTTGCGTCGTATTTACCAGTATTTGTGGTGTTTCTCAGTGTGCGACTGAGCAGATATCGCAGTATTCATAGCAGTGGCTTTATTATTTAATCACTAGGATTCAGAAGGTAGAATCCGGGCTGAGTCACATGAAATCGCTATCTTTCTGTGTCATCATAGTTTTATATATATATATATATATATATATATATATATATATATACTAAATTATACTTTTAGTTTTTACTGGTTGTGCACACCTTGACAAATATTAAGGTGGGGTTTTTTTTTGTTTATGTTTTTTGGAAGAAAGAAACTCTGACTTCTGGCTCCCTCCAGCTCAAACTGTAAGGATATACTGCTGTATCCTACAGTCGCCGTACACCAAGGCTCTTTTGCTAGTTATGTGTATGTGTAAACCACTGTTCTTGCACATATATGTAACAGGTGTTGAACAAAAAATTTCAGAGGGCTGAACATGGAAAAATACAATGTGGAAAAAAAGGAGAGGCTACAATAAAAACTAGGTTATCCTGATATGGGGTGCTAGATTTGGCCTAGACTTTGAGATATGTGCTCTACAACCTTAACAGAAACTATGACTGTGTTATATTACTCATGTCCTGTTTCTAACCTCCACGAGTAGTTCACACACCTTTAAAATATACCCAGTTTGGTAAAGAAGCGACATCTTTGGTTGTTTTTGTAATTACAAACCTCCAAATAAATTATTGACAGTTTTAGTTGTCAATTCTTCATTTGACAGGAGTAATGATAAAGTACAGTGAAAGACAAAACCATGATCCTGTGATATGTGGAGAAAAATATTGTACAGTTGTAGGTTAACTTGCTTAGTAAGTTAACTTGCTTGAATGTTGAATGTAATAACTTACAGCCACAAATGGAGAGATGCCAAACTGCGTTTCATTGTTCTGGTAACAGTGACAATAAAGATCTATCTTATCTGTCTTATCTATCTTATCTTATACCTTGATTACTGAATTCTATATGGCTGTAGTGTTTTACTGATGATGATGAAATATTGTAGAGGAGTTGCATCAAACATTTGGAGATGCATAAGATTTGGACACACAACCAACAGTTCATCTCTCTTGCCAGCACCACCTCCTGAAACTGGCAACCCCGCAGAGAGTGAATATTTGATTTTTAACTCTGAGCTAGTAATAAATAGCTTTCTTGTAGTTGCAGTTTTGCTACAGCACTCTATTGTCTAAGTTACATTAATTTTGTGAGCTTACAAACTCAGTATCTCATTATTATGTTGATACAATATTAACTTTCACACGGCAATGAGAGAGTATTATGTCAAATGAGAAAATGGCTGAAATATGTAACTCTTAATATAGAACTATGAGAACAAAATAAATATCATTATAATGATGTAATTTTTCTACTTTCAGAAGAAACTGAGTAGATTTTTTTATGTCACAGTGGCGGCAGTCTGTTGCTATTCTGTGCTAACCTACCAACCTAAAGTGTATCCATCTGCCACAAGGCAAGGTGTCTGCAGGCTTGACAAAGTCAAAGCTGCTGCTGACATGGTATGTCAGGATGACAGTATCATACTGCTACCCTGGCTGGCTGGTAGGAAGCAACTCAGTGTAGGCTTCTCTCAGCCAAGTGGTCCAGTTAACTGTTCGTTAATAGGACATGAACAGTGTCAGCTGAGGGGTTTGGTTTAAAGCACAGCTGTCTCTGTAGTGGTTTTAAAGCATGTGGGGTCTTTTTATGTTGCAAAACAGGCTTGCAGCAGAGTTACATGCACACCATGTGACTGTGAAACAGCATTTATTTTGATGATATCACTTAGTCATGCTACAGCGACTAAAAGAAAAGCAAAGGGTTCCTGCTCAGACAGTTACATCTTTGAGTTGAAAACTAACCCAAACTATAACTGAAAAGCTTTTTGGTTTTCTGATTTTTAGGAAGTGTTGAACAGTTTTATTGTAGTGTTGTATGCTTTGTTTTTAAATATGTTGGACTTTCAAGTGTAGCACTTCTCATTTGAAGTTGTTGCAGTGCCAGATATTTCACCTCCATACTGGCCCCACTGCTTTGTGCAGCTGTTCCTGTTTTGTCACTTTGTCTTCTTGTGTGGCTCAGGCATGTACGTGACGTTTTGAATGTGGTTTTGTCGATGTATTGTGGTAGCCTAATTGTGTTAACTTGGCTCTCTGTCTAGCCCACTGAGTTCCTCCGTTCAACCTAATTCCACTAGCGATAGCTATCAGCAGAAGCCAGGGATAGCAGCACTGTCTTTATCCACGGCGATGGAGCGTCTGTCCTAAGAGGATTTGAAATCTCTCACGTAATGCTTGTAAAGCTGTACAAACCATGCCTCAAACTCACTCTAAAAAAAAAAAAAAAACTCTGACTATACCAACCTCTTTCCCAGACGGTGAAGTGAAACTGTTGTGGTTACTGGTTGCTGAATTGAACTTTTGAACTTGAGGGTTAATGTGTATTTCTGACATTATTGTCGTGTTCTTTGAACTCTGTGTTGTTACTTTGGATTATAGGAGGTAATCCATTCTACATAGCCACAAACAGAGCAGTGCAGATAAATTCAGCATCAAAAACACAGTGCGATGTCACGGCTGTTAAATGTAACATGAATATAAAAACAGCTGATGTTTTTTGAATTTATGCAACTGGGAAAGATAAGTTTTACCAAAGTTTTATATAGGTAATCATTTACATTAAGCTGTTACAAATTAATAGAAAAAGATCCTGAAGTTTTAGCTTTACTCAAGAGAAGCAAGCGAGCAGTCAGCTACAAGGACTTTGAAGCTGCTTTTTTGTGAAGTTCAAAATTTTCTTTCATGTTCTCAGTTTTTAAAGTTATCTTTAATGATGGACTTCAAAGCCTAACAAGCTCCCTTTTAAACAAACAAACAAAAAAAAAACCCCTAAGTAGTTAAAACCAGTAACTAATAAAATGGAGATGTGTATAGCTTTGAAAAGTGTACATGAAGTGTCCGTGAGTTGCACACTCACACTTGTTGTAAACATTGGACGGGGTGGATATCACATGCTTTGGGTGACTCACATAATTAGTTAAGGCCTCTTTGGTTATATAGTTTCACCAGGGCTACTTTAATTGACTAATATTTCTGTCTATACAAGGGGAGGGTAATCTTTTTATGTAAGCTAACATTGACCACATATTGTATTCTTCAAGAAATCTAACAAAAATATGCTACTGGGTGTATACTGCATCCCTCTTATGCAACCATTGTTGTTCGGGGAGGGATTTGACTCCTCAGATAATGATTGTAATCTGTTATGATCTTAATGCAGACTGTCACTGTGAAGCACTGCCAGCTTGTTTGTCTGCAGTGTCTCACTGCACTGTCCTACTGATGGACAGATAGGGATCATGAGGATGCACACTGGAGTCCGGATGCATTTGCCAGAGTGAAATGGAGCAGTGTTGCATAACACTCACTGTTAATTCGGTGTGCTCTGAAAAGAGAGGAAGGTGAAAGAGTAAACAACTTTTACTAGACTGATCTGGAAATGAATGGATACTTCCATCCACCTCTGTATTTTTTTTTCAGTACTCAGTGTATTTGTACTGTTTACAGTTTTGTACATGTAGTGTGCCATGTCTATTATTATAAAGGTAACCTGCAGTCTGCTCCACCATTGCTTCTCATTGTGCATTTTTGTATGCATTTATATTTGGCTGTAAACAGTGAAGAATATGAAACCTACGCAGAAGTGCCTGTGTGCAGTCCTTCAATAAAGTAGCAGCACATAGCCCAACCTTTTACGTGCCAGTAGTATGCTGACTGAAAAGTGAAACTAAAAGTTGAAAAGTGGGCCTGAACAGCCATCATGTAACAACTAAAAACGGTACATGTCATCTGTTTTCAGTGACTTACTTGGACTGACTTGTATCATTATTTCAATTCTTTTAACTCTTAACTGTCAGAAAGTAGTGTAAAAACATCTGAACTGATGAGTGTTTAGAGACAGCTTTTTATTCATTTTTAAGGTTGTAGGTTTCAGTCATTGCTGTAATTCTGTGTAGAATTGTAACAGGGCTCCTTCCTGGTTCTAACAGTTTTAGCTGCTTTAAGCTTCTTGTGACAAGCACATTAGTTTATTAAAAAATGTCAGCTAGCTACTACTGCTGGGATGTAATATTTTCACACTCTAACATCAGCCTGAGCATGCACAAACACTTCTAAAAAATGCCTTAGCCGTGCAAAGCTATCAGAGTAAAATTCATCGATTTAAACATCCAGGAGGTCACATCCTATTGAAGAGCTTCTTACATCACACCACGTGGGTTTTTTTTTCTGACTT